AGACAACCCCGTAACAATATGCGTTTTGTACTGCTGTTACACAGCACAAAACGCATAAAAAAAGAACAAGCAGCTAAAGGAAAGTGTAAAACCGCTCCGGAATAGTTGTATCCAGTACGCGACTGCATCCTGGCATCAACGATCATTTCACAGTATGTATATATATTAACCCTAGTAAAGCAGTTAAAAAGAGAAAAAATTTCTTTTGGGTGATTACCGGGCATCGCTGGAATAAAGCCAAAATTAGCAGGAACCGGTACTGGTGGTGCTGCTACCGGCATACTTTGTGGTTTGCACTGGGCAGTCTCAATGAGCGGATTGAAGTATCGCGAACCTAGAAGAGAAAGGTCAATTATCCTGATAAATTACGAAAATAGTAAAAAAATTAAGATTTAAAATAGTAAAAAAATTAAGATTTAACAGAAATATATTTATTTTAATGGATTTAACAAATTTTTTAGACTTATTTTAGAATGAGATAAAGATTTATTTTTTAACAGATATAGGATGAGGCCAAATGAACAAGCACAAAAAAACACATGTGCTCTCGCGGGCGAAGACCCTTTTCGAAAATGGCTATGAATTCGGAAAAAACAGAAGTACTTTTCTTAAAATCACAAGGCGACATGCTAATTACTACCTCACAGGACCTTTTAGGTACTAAACACAATACAGGTGCTTTGTAGCAAAGTGTGTATTTTGTTGTGTAGCACCTATATTCTGGTTGTATGAAACTCCCATACATATTTTATATTGTCTGGTAACTGCAACTTGTGCAGCACACCCTTTCAACAGTTTTCGGCTTTTCGCAGGTTTTCCGCAACATTTGGAAAAAAGAAACATAAGAAATATAAGTGTGAAATGCAATCGATGTTTTCCGCCCTGATTTCTAAGTAAAATTAGTCCCCGTTCATAGAAGATTTCAGGCCCCTCGTTCTCTTCCAATCTCCTTGCCAAGAATATTCATTGCTTGTATCTTTAAAATTTCAACAACACTTCCACAGTAAACGGATCTACACAGATATATAGTGCAAGGAAAATATGAATATATAAGCACGATGCCAAAATCGAAATCCTCCTGTTCTCACTTTTTCTAGAAGGCAAGTGCACTCGAAAGTAGTCCAAGTGGTAGCAAATGCCAACAACAAAAATCATTAGCGTAAGGAAGTTTACGGCGTTTTTTGTGGAAAGTTTTTTAAAGCACGATCAGTTTACAAATGTAAAGAACAAAATCAGTTCTGCAGTAAATCTGAGATTTTTTTCTATTATTTTAATTATTATTGTTTTCGAATTGAACATTTTTTATTATTTTGATTTAAAGGGATTCTTTTGTTTAGCCGGCCAGCTAAATTAGTTTATGATTTGCTTTATTTTGCAGATGAAGTAAGCTAGATAACTCCGTCGCCCCTCCTGGTCCTCCAACTCACCGGCGATTTCCTCGCCACTCCCCCCTCCCCCCTCCCCCAATACTTAACATCGATTAGGGCGAGCTCATACGTGGGTACCACGCATATCCGGAGTGTGGGTTTCAGTTCAATGAGACTTACGTAGACGGAGAACATCCCCTTAAAATTTCAGCTTTCTAGTTTTTCTGGTTCCCGCCGCCTTCATTTTTATCAATGTCAAACCGGTAAGCAAAGTCATACAGCAGAAGTGCACATCGTTTTTTTTGCCATAAAATTTTTTCAGAAGGAATTCATACATCAACAGAACTAACCTCCACTAAGACGAGCAGCTGTTAAGCCACCAAATGAACCATGCACTGATCCGTTTAATTTCTCGGAACTTGCTGCAACGGATGGAGGGGGTTCCGGAACTGGCTCTTCTTCAACTCCCTCACCAACATATCTGTTGAGTTTCGGATCCCAGACAATCTGAAAACTCGAGAATATCCCGTTTTGTTTCTTCCATAGCTCGGAGGAATGAGGTAATTGCAAATTTACTTCTACAGTTACACAGTTCAAATCCACTAAACACAGAAATCCAACATTCCAGGTGCAGTTAATAACTTTTAAGCCTCTACAGTTACGCAGTTCAAATTCACTAAGCATCGGGATCCAACACTCCAAGGCGCAGTTAGTAAGCCGTTTGTAGCATCCATGTTGATGGGTGCCAAAGTTGGGGAAATGTGTACAAAGAGAAAAAAGTAGAAGGAGAAAAATACTAGGAAAAACAATTAAGACGTTTCGGTCCATTAATTCATATATGTCTTAGATCAACACCACGACTGGACCTCGTCAGTATGACGGTGGTGGTGTTCAGGGATAAGGAGGAAAGAAAGGAACGTAAGGGAAAGGGAAAAAAAAACTTTTAAGCTTCTACAGTTATGCAGTTC